TTAATTTGTGAATTTGTCCTAATTTTCTAATATTGGTTTTTTGTTTGTTTGTTTGTTTGTTTTGAATAGCAGTTAGTAGAATAAAAATAATGAAGGTAGAGAATAAAAAGGTTCGAAACCTTGGAGAACTATTTGGTTGGAGAAAGAGGGGAAATATTTATACTTCCCAATATAACTTTTCCTAGTTAATTTGTAATCAATTCTTCACACTCACTGCAGGCTTCCTTACTTCCTAAAGCCTTTCCTAAACCCCTGGTGGGGCAGGATGTTCCTGCTTCAATCTCCATCAGATCCTGAGCATGTCTTTTGGTCACTGGAAAAGTACAGAGCTGTTTGTTTGTTTGCCTCCTGTGATTAACTGTAGCAGAGTATACCTAAGCATATAGTGGGAACTAATTTATTACAATGTGGCAAAAGAATCTATAAGATGATAGTAGTATTTTAGAATTTTAACGTAAGTTGCATAAAATGGACACTCAACCAATGTTGGTTTTTACCCATTCCCATCCCCAACTGATTAAAAGTGGAAAAGAAAGAAATTCCCCTTGGAGTAATAGGTTATGTATAAAATAAGGAACAGGTGGACCAATAAAGAACCAGAGAAGAAGCTTTCAAAAATACTTCCATGTCAATAATGGAAAATTCTTATTATTCAATTCAAATAATCATTGCATGCTTAGTATGTGATCCACACCATAAAAAGGAACAAATATGATTAATATTAACTCATGAGCTAAAAATCTTTCTACAATGCCTCACCGACTTCTTGATATTATTAAAAATGTTTCTGTTGGAGGCAAAGCCTTCCATAATTTGGTCCCTTCTACTTTTTCAGCCTTACACCTACCATGCTCCCATGCATGCTCCTTACTCCAACAATGCAGAAACTCCCAGGAGCCACACCATTTTTTATTCATTGATTAAGCTGCCAATGCCTTACTCATCTTCATTTTGTAGTACTTAGCACATTTCTTGACACATAGCCAATGTTCCATAAATATTAACTGGATAAATAAATGAATAAATATTGTAAAACAATGGATGATGTTAGAGAAGTGAAGGAAACAGAGTTTGCTCCAGTATCACCGGAGGAATTGGATTATCACAAAGGGAGCAACTGGACAGCTCAATAAGAGGGTAGTCCTTGCCAGGGTGTGCGGTATAGAGAGAGATGAAGAAAACAATTCAGATATTCTAAAATTGCATTCACTTAAATGGTCAGGAAGGCTCCCTGAAGGAGAGAGGGAACCTCAAGGAATAAGTAGTTTGTAAGTAAATAGGACTGTGAAGGCATTCTGGGCAGAAGCTAAATAAACAAACAAATAAACAAAACAAAAAATAGAACACTAGCACTTGATTATGCTGGGAAAGCTATGTCATGGTATGAGAAGGAGAAAGCAGAGAGCCTTGGAGGATTCTTTGCTTTGTCTTTATTCAAGAATACGTGGGATAGGGCCGGGCTCGGTGGCTCACGCCTGTAATCCTAGCACTCTGGGAGGCCGAGGTGGGTGGATCGCTCAAGGTCAGGAATTCAAGACCAGCCTGAGCAAGAGTGAGACCCCCGTCTCTACCAAAAAATAGAAAGAAATGATCTGGACAACTAAAAATAGAGAAAAAATTAGCCGGGCGTGGTGGCGCATGCCTGTAGTCCCAGCTACTCGGGAGGCTGAGGCAGAAGGATCGCTTGAGCCCAAGATTTTGAGGTTGCTGTGAGCTAGGCTGAC